ATTCCTCTAAAATTAAATACTCCGCAACGATTCTTATGTATGCCCCAACCTCATTGGCTGGTGATGTATTTGTAAACAAATTTAATACGTAATATTTACTGTAGCAGATACGCGTACAGCGATCTTTTAGAGGACCCATTCGTCCGTCCATGCTGCTATTAGAGCTCTCACTCGAACCTCCACCGCGAAGCGGCTAGGATATAGGCTGAAGGACATTACTGGCAAAGACATGGGACACTAGAATGGCCGTTTCTGGCTCATTAGCCGTTGTCAGCTAGTGACACCCAACTTCAGTGTTGCCACTAAAATTGCTGCCGCACTCGAGTTTCGAACTCGTGCCTCTCCGTACAGTACAGCCGTACAACTATAATAGAAAAGGGCAGTACTGTAAGAAGCTGTGATTGGGATGATGGTGGCATGAAACTCAGAGGGCAGAGATCAAGCTATGGGTATGATAGAGGTCGGAATGAAGCGAGTGGAGGTTGCTAAAGCAATATGTGTATCTATCAGGGCGGTCAAGTATTGGTGGTCACAGTATAAGCGGACAGGTACGCTCACAAAACTGAAGAACTATGGAAGGCCAATAATTTTAGGGAGAGTTGACAAAATTGTTATTTCAGCATGGTAATGTGGTTGAAGAGAAACTGTCTGCTCGTACTATTATCGTTGCTGGATTGGAGAGATTCCTGCCGGACGCCTGGAGAAAGATCCCCTTGGAGATCCTGCAGAATCTCATTCATTCGATGTCAATTAGGGTAGAAGTTGTCCTACAGGACAGAGGAAAATTTCCCGTAAAGTAAATTGTGAATATGTTACTACGGTGCAAAACCATCCTGCGAGTTAATTATAGCGAGTTCATCTCGAATGAGATAGTCCGCACCCGCTGCGATCTTATCGCGAGGATATTTCAGGCCATTCAAGAAAGGCGATGGAGGTGGTTTGGGCACGTTTTCCGTCATCCGCCCCACGAGCTCAGCGTTACTGCCCTCGACCCGACGCCGCAGCC